TATCAGCTTGGGGAAGATGAGATAGGGAAGGAGACACAGTGCAGTCCCTAACAATATTCAACCAAAAACCTTAGGGACTTTCTTCTGCAGACTTCTGTAGCTGCTTCCTTAAATAATTTCTTTTCTCTCAGTGACATATTCCACACTTTCAACCAACTCAGCCTCGCCAAGCTCCAATGTCTCCTTGCAATGGACACCCTCTGGCAAAATTTAACTGGAATGTTTTGAAATGAACACTGTGTTTTTTACGTCAAGAGAAGTAACTGAAGGGGAAAAATACAAACAGTAAAAAAGATATTCCAAACAGCTAAGAATGTCGGCCCAGGTCGTCCAACTGTGACTCAGTCTTCAGCTCAGCTGATTACATGTTGAAGGCCAGCTCAGCAGAGGAAATAAGAAGTAGCAAATACAGGTTCTACTTTTATCCACAAAGCAAAGATTACTGTAGAATTCTGAGGGTTATTCGCCTGTGTTTACAGCAACCTGAATCACCCAGTTAGGAAAGTTGCAGGATTTTCAGCTAACCTATCCAGTCTTAAGTAGGGTCAGGAGCGTCATAGTTTATCAATATTTTTTCCATCCCATCACCATCACAGTCACTCTGAACACACTTGTGTCTTCCTTTGGATTAAGAACCAAGTCAAAATTTGATTTCTAGGAAAATACAAGGCACGTGTTAATCTATAAATTCTGTGAATTAGGCAGCAGTTGTTTTATAAAAACAATTGGCCTTTGGAATCAGGCAAATATAGCTTAATCCTGTTTTATTTATGTCTTTGGAGAATTCTAAATTTTGTTCAGTAAAACTAAGGACAAAAAAATCTGTCTCCTTAATTGGGTGTTCAGATGAATTGATTCCTATAAATCACTTAGCATGATGCCTGATACACAACAAAAACCCCAAGGTAGTAGCTACTATGATTGCTTATTATAGCCACTGATATCTGTTACTTTTGTGAGGGAAAATAAATAATTTTTAAAAGGCTGAATCTACCTATCTCTGGAAGACATGAAATGTTAACCAGCGTATGAAGTTAAAATTAAAGTTGATGTAACCTAAGATATCAATATTTTCTGTAATAAAATTAAAACAAATTACAATAATTATAAAAAGTGTAGTAGATTTATATTTTAGATTTCAGGAAGTATAAATCTCCTGGAAAATTATCTTAATTATGAGCTATATGTATTATCAAGTTGATTTTTAATAGCTCCCAAAATGAAAATCCAGTATTATCATATTCAACACATTCTATACATATTGAACACATATTGTACAAGTATATATTAAACATAGTACATTGTTTCCTGAAGGAATAGTAGGTACACAGTTTAAACTTGAACTTTGAGGAGGTTTTTTTTTTTTAGTCTTTTGGGGGGGGGGTTAATTGGGAATTATTTCCAAGGCTCCCACACTGGATTACATCCTAGACTGTTTGTCTGTTTTTATGTATGTTTACGATATATTTTCTTGCTTCCCTAAATTGCCCAAATTGGGCTCAAACTTGGGATCTTCCTGCTTCAGCTTCTCAGAGTGCTGGAATTACAAGTAGACAACATCATGCCTGCTCATGTCTGAAAATTTTAACCTCTCTGAAAAGGGTTATGCTGCACGTGAAAAAGTAGACTATAAACCGGTATAATCATTGATATATTTAGAAAATAAGAACAGCTAAACAAGAAGTTCAACTAAAATATGAGAAGTACTAATAATAATTAAGGTAGCAGAGGTAAATGTCATTTTTTCTGTTTACTCTTTACTCTTTTAAATGTGCATACATTCTTTAATAGCAATAAGAAAATGATTTTTTAAAATTTTATTTTAAAGAGGGTAAAACTAAACATAACAAAACAGAATAAAGCAGATCAGAAGAAAACAATGTAAGTGACACAGATTTCAAAGCAAGACAAGAGGTGATCATCACTGGTTACCATAATGTCTGTTGTTTTCTTCTAAATAGTTGTCCATATCTTCACATATAATGAATTCATACAAAACAAAATAGTATTAAACTGATCAGAACAAAGTGATGAAGGCATTATAGGCCTTCAAAACCAGATAATAGGGAAATCAACAATGGCTGCCATAATGTCTCTCGTTCTCCTCAAAATAGCTGTCCATACCTTCATGTATGTTGAAGTTAAATAATACAAAACAGACTGAAATCACTCTGAAAAAAGAATAAAAGCATTACTGGATTTCACAGCATGACAATACAGAATCAGCAATGGATACCATAATGTCTCTTTTTCTTGAGAGTAGCTGTTCATTTCATCATGCATTATATAATTGATTCTCATAAGCTGTTTAGAAGTTCTATGCATGTATAAGTCTCTACATCTAACACCTATCCTTTCTGTATTAGAAGGAAAAACAAAACAAGTTACTAGGAAAACATGAAAACAAAAAAGACAAATAAATAACAATAGCAAAGAGCCCAAAACAATGACAATATAGGCCTTCCAAACAAGGTGTTAGGAGCATAACTAGGGTTATTATTTTACAGAATGATCAAGAGTTCCTCAAATCACTATACAATAATATGCACAACTGTTCCAATCCTATGAATGTTGTTTTATTCCAAGAACTTATAGTTTGTAGCACAATCATCTTAGCTATCCTAAGTGTTTATATAATTTTAGATATTTATTTTCTTTTCCTTTCCTTTTTCTTTTTCCTCCTTTTTCCTGAGATATTACTTTTCCTCCTTGAGCAGATTCTTACTCTGTCACTGTATTTATTGAGGATTTTGTATCTTATGTACTCTTACCATTTCTTACACTAAGGGAGACAATATGGTATTTACACATTTCACTTATTAGTATGGTCTCAAGTTGCATCCATTTACTTATAAATATGTCAATGTGGTCATTTTTTTATAGCTGAGTAGACTCCATTGTATAAAAATACCACATCTTTTTTATCCATTCCTCAGTTGATGAGCATTTAGGTTGTTTCCAAGATGTGGCTATTGCAAATTGTGTTGCTACAAACATGGGTGTACATATATCACTGTGATATGATGTTGTCAATTGTTCTGGGAATATGCCCAGAAGTGGAATAGCTGGGTCAAATGGGAATTTCAATCCCAGCTTTTTGAGGACTCTCTGGACTGACCTCCATAGTGGTTGCACCAGTCTACACTCCCACCAATAGTGCAGAAGAGTTCCTTTTTCCCTGTAGCCTCTCCAGCACTTATTGTTGGTAGTTTTTTTCATCCTGGCCATTCTTTTTGGAGTGAGATGGAATCTCAGTGTGGTTTTAATTTGCATTTCTCTAATGACTAATGATGCTGACCATTTTTTCACATATTTATTTGCCATTTGTATTTCTTCATCTGAGAACTATGTATTTAACTCAGATGCCTATTTTTGGATTGGGTCTTTGAATTTCAGGGGTCTGATTTTTTAAAAAAATTCTTTACATGTTCTAGACAGAAGTCCTTTGTCTGAGGGACAGTTCACTAAGATTTTTTCCCAATTTGTGGGTTTTCTTTTCACTATGCTGGAGATTTATTTTGACATGCTAAAACTCCGTAAGACGTGATCCCAGTTATTGATTCTGTGAAGTTTCCTGTGCGGTTTGATTCTTGTTAATGAATTCTCTACCTACCCCTATGTCTTCAAGATTTCTACCTACCTTGTCTTTCAACAGATTTAGTGTTTCTGTTTTAATATTTAGATGTTTGATCCATTTAGACTTTAGTTTAGTACATGGTGATAGGCATGGGTCTAGTTACAGTTTTCGGTATACGGACAGCCAATTTTTCCAGCACCATTTATAAAAGACATTATCTTTCTTCCAGTGAACATGTTTGATCTCTTCATGTCATTCAGAAATTAGCAAGCTGACTGTCAAAAGGCAGTGGAGACAGTTTGTTAGAACATGCTGTTTCTCACAGACCTTTGAGAAATGTGTTTAGAGAGAACAATGACCTAGAATCAAGAGTTACTTGAAGTGGGGTACAAATGGTCAAGGCTCTTCAGGTTATTTACCAAAGTGTGTTATCTACATCTCGGATATGTATCAAGAACTTTGTAAGGGTCTTCACCCCATCAGCCCAAAGCAAAACATTTATTTAACACCCTGATAGAACAATTTAACAACAGAAAAGAGAAAGCTTATCCAGGTGAGCAGGAATGGGAAAAAACTCTCCACAAAACTGTAGATGTGTTTGATTTCCAAAGACATTGTTTGTTACTAGCATGTTTTTATCCTGTTTGGTGATGCTGTATAAAAACAAATCCCCAAGGACTTTCCTATTAGCACATCTGGCCCAGTGTAGTCAATGCCTTTCTATTGGAGCATCAAATAATTGCCTTCAATTAACCACCTTGTACTTGTAACAGTCTGAAGGGGAGAATTCCTCATTCTGAGAAGCAGATAGCTTTACTGTGGTGCCTCATGCTGAGACAGATCTTATGTTCTCTGAAACGAAGCCAGTCTCCTGTAAATATCCATTAAAAAACATCATCTTGACTGTCACAGCCAGCCTTCCGAAGCTCTCAGCACCACAGCAGAGGAAGAGTAAATGTACACAATGCAAACACCTTGGTTCATAAGCATCAGTGTCACTGTCCTTCAACAGAACAGGTTTGCTTGAAAATGTTTATCATTTATAGGTTTTAAGATCTAGTATTTCTCATTTCAAACAATAACACCTCCAAATTAGTATACCAACAGTGGATTTAGCTGATTTAATGAAATTTAATCTGTTAAAAATTTAAGAAAAGACCCTCTGAAAAAAATTCTTGTTAGGAACACAGACGAATAAAGACCTGTTCTATTGTAATAGTGATGATTAAAACTTGTGTTATTATACACAATTCAACCAGTCAAAAGTCAGTCCTTCAAGAATAATGTTTGCAATTTTGGGTAAAATCTTAATTTTTCATTGGGGTAAAATCATGGCTGATATTTTGAAAAGATTAAATATAAATAAAAACACTTAGTCATATGTGCTAGTTTGCACATTCAAATTATGACACTTAAAGATATATTTGAGACAAGACAGAACTGTTTTAATTGTCAAGAATTTTATGTAGTAAATTTATTTATTCAGTAACACCATAATAAAATAAGAATACTACATTCACACAGAAGTGGAGTATAAAGAACATAAAATATTATTTTAAGACAGGAAAACAATAGGACCATAATTACAAACCTAATGGAAAGCTTTTAATTTACAATGTTACTCTTTTATTATTAATAGGACTAATATATTGCTTTGTCTGTGAAAAAGTGATGGTACCTGAGTATTATACACATTTACCACATGTGACAGACTCAATTATAAATTAATGAATAATTAATTACTTATGCAAGTTTCCTGCTCATTTAACACTCTTAAAAAATGCTTTAAGACATAAAAAGCAAATAATTACATATAATTAAGGATGAAATTTTCTGGTACTCCATTATTCAAGTACATATTTACCCATGAAATTAAGAACACTAAGTGCTTAATATGTAAAACTAGTTTAAAGTCATGACTCTTGATTAAATATAATCTCCAATGCTCTCATGAGGCTTCTGAGCTTCAAAAAATGTACTTTAAAAAACTAGCTTGAGGGCGAATCACTAATACATTCTGAAACATAGCCAAAACAAAGAGTTTGAATTCAAAGACTGAATTCAGAATAACTACACACTATTTTTATAATTATATGAATAAATTGATTCTTTGTTCAAAATCTCAAACATAAATGATATTAACAATATGCATGCATGAGACCTAATAAAAATGACACTGGGGAAATTATTGCTTAACCTAGAGAAAAAAATATTACTCTTGGATTCTTGCCTAAGGCATAAATTGTGGTCATGTATTAATAAAGTAGGTTTTTTGATTCTCTAACTTTTAGAGAAATTTTGGATCCTTTTATGTTTTGCATGTAGATATTTTAGACAAGATCTAAAATTTGAGAGGACAATTAAAACTCCATCTTGAATGGTAAAATATATTAATTCTACTATTATATAAATAGAACAAATCTGATTCATTTATCAGACAAGTGTTAGCTTCTGAACCATCCAGTTCAAATTAAATTTAACTCTGTGGCAAACAATTCATTTTCTCATTAGGTAATCAATGTTACCTTCAATAAGGCAATTCCCACTTAGCCTCTGGCCATAGCAGTCATCTTCAAACAAAGTTCTAACCCTGCAGACCATGTAAAAGGAAATGATTTCCTTAGTGGGTGGTTCAAGGAAATCTGCAATAGAGATGCATTTTAAAGGGAATGTGAGTTCTTAAGAAGTCTCATCTAATTAATAGCTCTCTTTCTTCCTAATATGAAACTGATCCAAGAAACTGAAAATTAAATGCAAACATTAAAATATGAGATTAATGATTAAAATTCTGCAATATCTCTCTGACTCTTCATAGTATTACTGTTTTGTAAAGGAAAATAGACTAAAAATATTTGTAATGTATTAAAATCTTTAAAGGGTTGATTAATGCTGACCAATAAATAGACCAATGTATTCATTTGGTTATGTAATACACTAGAAAATCCATATATACACAAAGTATTTAACACCAGTGAACAACCACAAAAATACAATGCAACACAAAAGGAAAGGGAAATTAGTTAGTATACACCAGTTAATAAAAAGTGGTTTTAGTAAGAAAATCTAAATATTATAAAAAAGGTTTCTGCTTTAAACACTTTTATCCCTATAAGCACATTTAAAATACTATTAAAAATGCATGTTTAATTTTAAGCAAAAGCCACTGTGTTCTGTTCCCTGCAAGTATGGTTTTCAGTCATCTTTTTTGTCTGAGGCACTTTCTTCAAGATTTTCAGGGCTGACTTTATTACTTGCAATAGAAGGAGCTTGTACTTCATTTGGCATGGAAAACACATGGCTTGTCTGGAGGTCTAAATATGTTGTAAATATTTTAGCATATTCTGGATGCCTCAGGGCAAAACTTTTGAACTCCTCTAGAAGACAAGAAAAAAATCCAATAAATTAGGGTGAATCTCTTTTGGCATAGCATACAGTAATAAATAACCTTAGTCATATCATACAATTATTATAAAATTCTGTTACCCAGCTCACCAACATTGATAATGAGGATTAAATTGTACACCCATCGTGAAGTTTTTCCACTCATTAGTCAGGTCAAAGAGATACATACTGTATGTGCCATTCATTCCATTCTGAGACACACAGCCTAAAGCAATTGTACTTATTGTATACAGGGGATATGTGTAAGAAAGTTCATAGTGATATTATTAATGTTAGGGTCAATGTAAAATAGAATGTTTAGAGAGGTATGTTTCAGGGCTAGGATGTAGCTCAGTACAGCACTCGTCTTGCATAGGTGAGGACCTAGATTCAATCCCAAGTAAGGAAAGGATGTCTACTTCTATGATGAAATGCTAAAGCAAGGCAGAAGTTCCTTTTAAAGTCAGGGTACAGTTCCCTCCTATAAGAACAAGGAAGTGGTTAGGAAGGGAAATGCAGGGAATTCTTGGGCTCTGGAAAAGTTCTGTTTCCTAAATAGAAATGGTAGTCACACAGGTGTTCATTTTATACAATTTCAATGTTCTCCATATTTATTTCTATCCCATTTTCTGTATTTTTGTTATTTTTAGTATTGAAATGTTTTTAAAATTTTGCTGCAAAGGACTTTCCATTACTGTCTTTCAAAATTATTAACTCTAGCATAGAAAGATGCAGCTTTAAAAGCTGAGCCTGGGCTCATACTCAGTACAGTAGTGACTAATAATAATACATACAGCAATCATATCATAAGATTTCTCAATAGTGACTCTTTATCTCACGTATGTAAGATTTGGAAGCCAACAGAAGTATAGAAGCCTGGGAGGAGAAGATGGCAATCGATAAGTAGCAAGGTTAAGAGCCTCTCTGAGAGAAACAGCTCAAATGCTAGTAGTTTACCACCATGAAGAAGATCAGACAAAAGGAGAGGAATTCTCATGACCCCGGAAAAAACTACGGAAAAAGAAAAAGGAAAAAAAGAAAGAAAGAAAAGAAAAATGTGGACGGAAGGCTGGAGCCAGATGTGCTCTCACTGGAGCCCATCCGACTCAAGGATGCGGTGCTCTTGCTGGAGCTGGTCAAATTTGTGGTTGTGGTGCTCTCACCAGAGTCGGTACCACTCGCAGTCGTGCTGAAGTCAGGGGATGGCAAGCCGAATGGAGAGCAGAGCCTGTATGGAGTCCTGCACTAACCTGTGGTGAGTGCTCAGAATTTGGTCCCCCCATGGGAGGGGGATGACCAACTGGACAACATATTAGAATTGGGCAGGACAGGCCTGAACCAGGAACTGCAGTGGCTTCAGTTGGGTGCTCCCTGCCCAGAGCAGATTGGTGGGATCTACTTGGGCTGGGTAATGCCCCTGGCTGGGACCCAATAGCCAGCAACGAAACTGTCCCTGAAGTTGTCCTGAGCAGGTTCCATCTGCTGGCACACACTACGATGGTGAAGGCCCCCACTGGTTGATTGGCTCGGAGAGGAGGGGCCAGCCTACACTGCCCCTGCTTTAACCTCAAGGATCAACAGCAAACTGGAGAGGGCAGCAATCCCTGGTCAGCACACTTCAGAAGAACCATAATCAATATGGAAAGGGACTGGGACCTCCACCATACACCTGTATGGAAGAAACCAGAAATATGACAAGAGAAACAAGAAAAAGCCTCCAGCTGCCAACCCAGGAGAGGTAAATACAGAAGAGATTGAGGGTAGCAAACAAGTAATATTGGACATGGCATCAGCTGACATAAAGAAATACCTTCGTGACATCATAGATGAACTTAAAGCTGAAATACTAATACAAGTAAAGCAAGATTAAGATTAAAAAAGAAATGCTAAGCACCTCTGAAGAAGACACAGATGGAAGAATGGAGGAACACAAAAAAAGGAGAGAAACCTTTGATGAAGAATATAAAAATAACATAGAATATATGAAACACATTCAAAGAGAATACCAGGAAATTAAAAACTCCATTGAAAGCTTGCTTGAAAGAGACTAAAGATAAACAGAACTTGAAGATAGGTTTGCAATGTGTGATTACAAAAGGAAAGAACTCTTAAAAATAACAAGGAAACAGGCAGTAACAACACAAAGGCTAGAAGATGACAAGAGGATCTATAACTTAAGATTAAAAGAATGTGAATGAAGAAGCAGGGGTACAAAGGAACTACAAAGGCTATTCACAGAAATGATTAAGGAAAACTTCCCAAGCATAGGAAAAGGAAATGATATTCAGATGTATGAGGCATACAGAACTCCAGTGAGCTATAACCACCCAGACATATAATAATCTTTTCTTTTCTTTTTTTTTTTTTTTTTAGTACCGGGGATTGAACTCACGACCTCACATTTGCCAAGCAAGCACTTAACGCTGCTGAGCTAAATCTCCAGCCCTAAGACATATAATAATCAAGATCCCAGAAATTCATCACAAGAACAGAATATTAAAAGCCATCAGAGAAAAGGAACAGATCATCTATAAAGGAAAACCCATTAAAATCACAACAGACTTGTTGACACAAACTATCAAATCAAGAAGAGCTTGGAGCTGAGTATTCTAAGCCCTGAAAGAAAATAACCTCCAACCCAGATTGATGTACCCTAAAAAACTGTCTCTCAAAATTAATGGAGAAACAAGATGCTTCCATGACAAAGAGGAACTGGGGGAGTTCATGACCACCAATCCAACCCTACAAAAAATATTGAAGGACATTCCAAAGAGAGAAAATAAAACACACCAAGATTTCAGGAACAGTGGCAGAGTGGCCTCAATGAACAGGGCAGACAGTAGTATTAGGAGAAAAGTAGACAACGATTGGCAGAAAAATGGCATAGAAGAAATGAGGCAGAGAAGGTTGGCTATAATCTCTAACATAGATCCCCTTGGTACACTAACAAAAAGAAACACAGGCAGAGTAGATCAGCAGATAGGGTCCATCGAGATGCTCTGTATAGGAAATATAATTAACCTGAAAGAACGTTTATGGACCAAAAGTCAAATATGAGAAAACAATGCTCTATGTGACAAGAAACCAGAGAGAAATTGGAGCAGCTCATCCAGAAGCTGCAGATAGTTTGACATCTGACACTTTTGTGCAGTGGAGAACTACTCAGCTATAATGAAGTAAAACCTGGAGGTTTTTGTAGGCAAAGAAATACAACTTAAGATCAAGCCTAGGGATAAAAAGGTTCAAAACCATTTAGGTAAACAGTGGGTTGCCCCCTAATCTAAAAACTAAAGGAGTTAGAGGGGCCCAAAATGTACAATGCACCCTGTGAAAGTGAAAGGGGAGGATCTGTCTAAAAAAGGAAGGCAGAAGACATTGTTAATAGTGTATCAGGATTTAAAATTCACATTATTCTCATTGCTCTGTTTAGTTTGATTATATGCTGTTCCAGTCTGTCTACCTGTACTAGATTTGAGGGCACAGACAGCTATTTCAAAAATAGCAGGATACACTACAGTAACCATCTTTAATTTCCTATTAACTTAATCTGAAGCCCTGTATAACTTATATTTATTATGACTGATCTTATTTGAATCTGGTTTGTTAGATTACTGGTTTGTCTTGACTGATTTTATTCAAATCTGTTATGATTGATAGTATCAAGTCTGAGAGTATAGGCAAATACTCTGAAGATGACAAGATTTACTAGGATATCTACTCTGGTTTTATCTGCTTTTAAAGTCTTATAATGTCTCCAATGTTTTGTTTTTATTGATATTGTTATGTACTGCTGTGTCCAATTATACTATGCCTGAAGATATAGACAATTCTATTGACGACATCAAGAGACATCATAGTAACCACTGTAGATCACCTTGTATTGTGGTTTTATGTCTTTCTCTTTTCCTCTTTCTTTCTTTCTTTTTTTTTTTTTTTTTTTTTTTTTTTTGGAGACAGGGTCTTGCTGTGCAGTTCAGGCTGGCCTTGAGCTCATTTTGTAGCCTAGACTGGTCTCAAACTCACAACAATCCTCCTGTCTCAGCCTCTCGAGTCAAGTACTGGGATTACAGGCATGAGCCACCATGTCTGGCTGTCTTTGATTTTGTATTTTTCTAGGAATTTGTTTTGTTTTGTTTTTCCCTCTAATACAGAAAGGATAGATATACATGTAAAGACTCATGCATGTGTAGAACTTCTAAACAGTTTATGAGAACTGATTATATAATGCATGATGAAATGAACAGCAACTTTGAAGACAAAGAGACAGTAAAGTACCCAGTGCTGATTCTGTAGTGTCATGATATGAAATCCAGCAATACTATTATTCTTTGTTCACAGTAATTGCAGTCTGCTTTATTTTGTTTAATTTTAACATACGTGAAGGTATAGACAGCTATTTTGAAGAGAGACACTATGACAGCCATTGTTGACTTCCCTATTGTCCGGTCTTGAAGACCTAAAATGCATACATCATCCTGAGCAGTTCTATACTATTTTGCTTTATATGAGTTTATTGTATGTGAAGATATGGACAACTACTTGGAAGAAAACAAGAGACAGTTTGACAGATAGTGAAGATCTCTGGTTGTCTTGCTTTGAAGTATGTGTCTCTTACATTGTTTTCTTATGTTCTGTTTTGTTATGTTTAATTTTACCCTCTTTAAAATAAAATTAAAAAAAATAAGTATAGAAGGCTAAGTTACCTATGAAGTCTTGGGTCTCAAGCCTCCAACAAGAAGGAGTTTCTACAGTATGATACTGTCTTCAATTTTTTTAATTTCTCTGTCCTCTCCTACATGAATCAATTTCAGTGATGGAGAGGAAGACTTAGGTGACTTCCAGATAAGATAACTCCCTGGGCATGAGAGTTAATCTACAGAAACCAAGAATGTTTAATTTCAAATTTGTACTCTGTCTAAAGTACAAGATCATCTGGTGGGATGTCAGTGGTATTAAACAGCAATTCATCTCTAAAAGTGCCCCAAGTTGTCTGTAAGTGGAATTTGGGCATTACTTTGACTAATGGAAAACTAAGAGTAAAAACAATTTAAAGTATCACATCATGACATGTCAGTACTCCTATTTTGAGTAAAAGTATACTTATATACCTCAAATGCCCTTAAAATATTGTACTTACACAATATTGGGGAGGGGGATGTTTGCTTGTGTATTCTAAAAAGAAACAGATTCAACTCCAAAAATAAAAAAATACCATACTTCCTTAAAAATTACTTAAATTGACACATTAATATCATAACTACCTATAAATCATTTCTAAAGTCTTTCCCTCAAATAGTTATTCCAAATAGCTTTGAAAACTTAGTACTTCAAAGTAACAAACAGTATTATTTATGAAAGGAAAATGGTCAGAGAAAAGTTAGTACACATGAGTCTCTGAACTTCTCTCTCATTTACTATTTTATCCTTTTTGTTTACTTTTTTTTTAAATGAACTCAGAGTAAGGATCCTAGGTGCTTAATTACCCAAAGAAGAATATGGGGCAGCTTAAATGACAGTAATTAAAGACGGAGTAGGAGAAGTATGCGATCTACTTTCTCTACCCAGTGAAGGTTAACAAGCTGAAACTCTTTGAACATCATTAGGGAAAAGTAATTAAGGAATGAAGGAGTTTTCTCCAGCCTGACAGGAAAGACGGGGCAGATAAGTCAGCCTGACTTCTGTGATCACATCAAAGTCAAGGCAGGAAATCACTGCCTAGGCCTCTCTACCGTGTGCTTCTAGATGACGGCTGTGAGGACTGGGGAAACTGATTTACCTTCGTGTGGCTCTTACCAACTTATGCTGACATGTGGGACTCAGTCAACAGGAGGGAAGGCATTCAGTGACAGAGGGACCTGCTATGTACCAAGGGTCTTGGGAAGGCTTTCATAAACTGCTACACTAAACATCCATAGATGATTTAGCTACTTCTTTTGCTGGTGCATAGCTCTACACTTCTGTATTATAGTCACAACCCAGTTTGATTAATTTGCTGAATGTCACGTGGCTATACTGGCATCAGAAATGAGAGGCACAGAGGTACCGAGCCAATAGTGCAGGCTGTAAAGCCAAGTTATCTCAGATTTTGAAGCCAGGTTCTTAAATTTTTAGCTGGATGAACTAAGAGAAATGACTTTAATCTTTTTACTCAGTCAAAGAAAAGTCAGAATACTGATTAGATAAATAGGTCTGTTGTAAATATTAAATGATATGCATATGTGTGTAAAATGTCTAAGAGTGTCTAAGCCTAAGCATACAAGTTGCCGATAATTAGTAGCAGCAGCATTACTATTATTTCTACTATTACTATAATTAGTCAAGGGAAATACTCTTGTATGAGCCTTAATTCATAGTCTAGATGCCCTTCTTCTAAATCAGGAGGCCAAATTGTCACTCACCATAAGAAATAGAGTCCCCTTGGGCGATTTCCTTGAAGAGTCCAGAAACATTAAGGTCAGGCACTCCCAGAGAAGCCTGCAGGATGGTGGAAAACTCTTTCTCTGTTATGCAGCCATCCTCATCAACATCAAAGAGCTGAAGTAAAAACAAAGTAAGAGTTACTTCGGACGACTAGTGTTATGGGATCATCTTGCAAATAAACTCATTAAGGGTTCAAATATTTATTGTGCCAGGGGCTAAGAAATGTGTATGAGAAAGTATGGTCGCTGTTCCTCTTACAGCATTAATAGTTTGCAGGTAGAAAGAGGATTAAACTAGTGACTATCACAGTACTAGGTTCAAAAGGAAATGGAAACCCTATGGGAAACGGGATGAATCCTAATGGAAGAGGTTCCCAAAGGCTTACTTATCAGAGGAATGGCCACCACATGAGGGTCTCAGAACATGAAGAGATGTTACTGACGATATAAGGAATGGCAGGTGGCTACCTTGAGTTCGAGTCCAGAGACTAAGGTTAAGTAAGAGTTAGACAATGGTAGGTAGGTAATGCTTCACTTAATCTTGCAGGATGATGGTGGGAAGAAATGCGGTATGAACATATGTGAACCAAAGAAATCTTTGAAGCAGAATATGCAGGAAGTGTTAGGGGCAGAAGGCTGATAAGACAACAGGCAAGAAAAATAATTCTGAGGTAGTCAAGCAGGGAGAACAGGAAGGAAAGGAATTGCAAGCAATAAAGATAAGATTTGCAGCAAAGGTCTGCAGTAATGGAAAGGAAGAAGCCAAAGATGACTGAGTTTTCTAGCTTGGGTAACTGGGTGAAAGCTGGTTACATTAAGCAGGAGAGGGAAAACAGAAGAACAGGTGCCAAATGAGATGAAAAGTTAGAACGAAAAGGTTCAAATGAGTCGGAGGTAATCAGAAGTAAGAGAGTCAGATAGCAGTTTCCAGATGAAGAAGACTGGAGCTATGAATCCTGGTAAGAACTAGAGTGGTAGGATATGCTTGAATTTATAGGTAGAGAATGTACAAAGTAACACAAAGTAAGAATAGCAACAGCGGAGATGTATGAGGAAGAAGAACTGACAAATGTAGAAGCAGCGCTTAGGAGAACCACGAAAGAAGCGTATGCATTTAAATAAGTGAAGGAAGGGTTTTCATGGCAAGAGAAAGAGACTCTGATTAACAGTAATGGCCAACAAAGCAATCTGCCACAGAAAGGCCAAGAGAAAGCAGAAAGGTTTGCTGGGTTTGGCATTTAGGAAACTGGGATGACTTTAATAAAAACAGTTTCAGGAAACGGGAAGCCAGATAGTAATGGAATTGAGGATGGTATGGAAGTGGAAAGCAAAAGAACTGGCACGGATATTACTTTTAAAAGAATTGTGGAATGAAAGCCAGGAGATAACAGAGTAGCAACCAAACACCAGGGTCTTTAGGAAAGGCTTGACCGAATAGGTGGGAAAGAGGCAGCAGAGTGGGGTAGCTTGAAAGATCAAGCAGCGGAACAGGTATAACTGACAGATAACATCACATAGCCAAAATCTTCTGTGTGTCAAGACCTTTTAATGGTATAAGCAATTATGCTTTCAAGGCACTGATCAAAAGTGTCAACTCTTAACCCTCCCAATTGTCTCCTATCAGGAAAACCATTTGGACTCTCCCTGGAATTTGAGTTAAAAACTGAATTGAGTTTGTTTACTTTAACTACAGTGTCCAAGGAAGGGTACAGAGCAGTTCCTGGAGTGAGAACTCTAGAGCTGCCTAATTGTGAGTTTTCTGTTGAGCCTACACCCTGACCCGGCAACCAGATCCACTCTGGTGCCAGTCAGCCAGAGTCTATCCTCACTTGCAACTGAAAAGCTCTAATGGTCTGACTCTAAAGGACACTATAAAGGCAAAATAAAAGCTAACAAGTTAACTATGAAATGCTACCCTAAGAAAAGGATGAAAAAGGGTCCTAGATACAAAATGGCACTACCAAATGAAAAATTACGTATGTAAATATAATTTCAAAACATAAAACACGTAAAAAGAAAGATTAAAAATAAGCAAAACATAGAATGACCTTTGCCTTATTAAAAAAAAAATATAGTTGTAAGTTTTTCCTTTCTTCTCTCCCCCATCCCTAACCAAGGTCCAGGCTAGACAAAATTCTCACGGCTTCTTTAAAAACAATAATTACTATGATTAAGGGTCAAGTTTTCTATCAGGTCTTTCATCGGTAAACCAACAGTGACTATTTGCCCAGCTAAACTTGTAATTACACATACAATTTCAAGACAGAAACAGAAATATCTGGATTGGAATAAGTTAGCTATGGGTGTAATTTTAGGTTTTATGATGAATAAGTCTATAAAAGCTGAAAGTCTTAAATTTTGGAAAATGTTCTGGCCTTGGTCTTATGACCATCTGCTAGGCATCAACCACTTAGGTTTTTTTATAGGCGTAGCAGTGAATTCAGTTTAAACCAATACAAAATAAAAAGTCAACTCAAGACTTTCTATTAAGGACAGAACACATGAATTCCTGAGGCTATCCCTGGTGGCCTGTAAGACATGAGAAAGAATTCTTGGCAGAGGAAACTTTCTAGATAATAGAGGGGAAATAAACTTGTTGGAGTCACAGTAGGATAGTCTTCTCAGGGAAAGTCAGAAAGAGGTTAGAGTAGGAAACAGGATCGCGAAGGTCTTCAGTTCTCACTTTATTTGAATGGAGGCAGAAAATAGGTGGCTTCCTAAGTCAGTGCACACAGGGAGGTGGGACAAGTACAGAGATCAGGATTCTGTTTTACTTGAGAGACAATGTGCTTAGAATACCAAAGAAAGATAGTATTTAAATACTAATACGTGAAGCACCTTTAATCTCTCAATGAAACACACTTTGGAATACATTCTTTCCACTTCTCTGTAAGTGACAAATACAATCTGAGATCTCACAATCAAACTTTTATCAAACTCTGCTGCAGACTAGAGACGCTCATTTTATTCATCTCCTTCCAATTTATATCTCTGTATGGCTGTGAAAACACATATGATAGTAAAGGAAGATATGCAGGGTGGGAACTTGGGACATTAATCGTGGTGTTTACCTGACACCCTCACGACAAAATAAATTCCAGCAGCCAAATGATCCTGACATACCAGGCTGAGAAAATAAGGACAGATCAGAACTTTTCACACAGTGAATTAGGATGAGTAGTGACAAGTGGTGTTTATTTATAAACCTTCCTGGGGGCTTCAAAATGAGGCGGCTGAAAAGAAAGAATTTTTAAGTTAATTTGTTAAATCATCTGCTCCTCAATCTTGATGCTGTTACCTGGGCTGCTTTCCTTTCTGCTTAAATGAATGCTTGTGTTTTCTTTATTCTCAGTAGCAATTCACTTAATAACATTATTCTCCTACAATGTCACAGCCAATCTTCCAATTTTCAAATGATACACTTACAGTCAACGTTTGTTTACAAGGCAGAATGAGATGTTGTCAGTGGAACTGACAGTACCTTAAATGCCACCTGGATGATCTCCTCTGTGTTGGCAGGGTTGCACAAGACAGCCAGGCCAATCACATACTCTCGGAAGTCGATACTGCCATCATTATTCTGTGAAAAGATGGGAGAAATAAATTAGGAAGCCCACTAGTGAGAATACGGTGAATCACACTGCAAGCTGAAATTCCTCTATGCCTGCAGCTCAATATCGTAATACACTAGTCCATCTGGACAAAAATTTCACCGAGATGGAACAGCAAGCAAGTGACTCCTCCCATCCATTTCCCAACTCAAAAGGAAGAAAACATTATGCAATAAATATAAACATTTTGTAACTGAGGCCATTTAAAGTAGTCCTTCAACTTCCAGTAGCAGTTTTTGAGCTTACCTTGCCTTGATGGAGCCTTCTAGGGAAGTCTAAGAGACTTTTATCTTTAGTAGGACCCAAACACTCATCTCACCACTTTCCTATGTGTTTGAAAACCAGACTAACGAGCCTTGGGTTTTTTTTTTTTTTCTTTCTTTCTTTAATCAATTTTATTGATGAGTCATTTACATTCAACAAAATGCAATGCATCCATTTTAAGTGTATAGTCTTATTGACAAGTGGATACATAAACACAACTACTACCAAAATCTATGTCTACATTTCATCACTATTGAGGTTTTGGACAATGAAGCATTTTAAGGAAAACAATTTTTCCATTTCCTGCCACCACTGATCAGCCACTTTTTTGTTTTGTTTTGGGGTATGGGAGATTAAACTTAGGACCTCGAGCATGCTAGACAAGTACTTTACCACTGAGCCATACCCCCAGCCCACCAGTTAGCTTTTTAATGTACTGTGGAGGGCCACTGTTACGGAGCCTTAGCGGTTGAAGAAGTTTTTGAATCAGAGACTGTATACTATTCATCATAAATAAATTTCTTCTGCAATTGGTTTTTCCCACTAAGCCACATAGAAGTTTTGAATAGAAGTACTAAAGAAGAGATCTAAAGAAGTACGGTATATGCTCATTACAGTTAGATTATCTGTATGACTGGAAATATTGGTTTGAATCTTTATTGTGAGACATCCAAACCCTGTATAATACAAGTCAAGCATCATAACTCATTTTTTAGACATAGAAATATAAATTTAACGCACCCTTAATATTGCCAGTAGTTACGGAATAAGGTAGACTTCTTATTTTCATTAACAATTGCATACATAAATTGTTTTGACTGACAAGATTAAGTTAAAGTAGGTCCTTGATTCAATCACATTAGAAAGGATATGGAAGTTTTTGATCTGGTCAGGGGAAAAGAGAAAAGTAGCCTATAATTATTCTGAGACCTTATCTTTTAGGTTAAAAATATGTTGTTAAAGTTTCAAATAGGAATAATATAATTTGGAACTAGAAGGAACCTTAGAAATCAGCCATTCAATTTCATCATTTTTATTAATGAAAAAAACTAAGCTTCACTTACAGTTACAAAACTATTACCATACCTGCAATTAAAATTTAGGCACTCTGACTACCAATCACTCAAATTAAACCAAATAGCTTTATAAAATGTATTCAAAAACAGAAAAAAAGGTGATATAGCAACATAGTCTTTTTTATATTTTTAATTTGTTTCATGATTAAAAAGTTATCCCACAAGTCTATAGTTTTTTTCCCTTAAGTTTGCTGCATTCTCCAGAATAATTATGAATTTAATTTAAAAATCCAGACTTGAAAATATTTCCAAGCCATATTTCAAAAGAAGAGATGAAAGACTTTATTGCTTCTATAACCTGTCTCAATCTGGAGCCCAGGAAAGCCCTGGAGTTACACTGAGTCGTTGCAAACAGAAATGTGACTAACTCTCATTGTATCTCTAGACTTTGGGTCTCATCTCTTCCCTGGAAGTTGACAGAAAGAAAGCATGAAAATGCATGTGGGTTCATTTGGGTCACAATTACCCAGCACCTTCCATCTATTCACCCATATCATGCTGGCTTCCAGGGCCAGCGGGCAGTTCTAAGCCACTTGCTCCAAAACTGCCATTCAAAACTGCAGAAAGAATAATGATCTGATTCTCAGAGATCAGCGCTCTCAGGCTGTTTCACAATTGGATTTACTCAACATTTGTAGGATACAAATGCAGTAAACTTAAGGGGAAAAAACTATAGACTTGTGGGATAACTTTTTAATCATGAAACAAATTAAAAATATAAAAAAGACTATGTTGCTATATCACCTTTTTTTCTGTTTTTGAATACATCTTATAAAGCTATTTGGTTTAATTTGAGTGACTGGTAGTCAGAGTGCCTAAATTTTAATTGCAGGTATGGTAATAGTTTTGTAACTGTAAGTGAAGCTTAGTTTTTTTCATTAATAAAAATGATGAAATTGAATGGCTGATTTCTAAGGTTCCTTCTAGTTCCAAATTATATTATTCACACTTCTTAAATCTAGCAATATTTAAGGATATGGTTTTTAGTCAGTGTAGTTACAGGAAAATAGAAACATGCTATTTCCATAGTCTTTTAAACAGCACGGATGTGTCCATGATTGTAAATTTAAATGTTAAATATGACAGCTTCCTCCCATTCAGCTTAATAAAACTATTTTTGTTATTAGTTTCAATAATTTTTTATTTAGTTTTAGAAGAAAATCAAAAAAAAGGATATAGTCTTAAATACATGTTGCAATGGTAAATTGTCAATAGGGACTATTTTCTCATCATTGTGTGATAACTGAGATAATACTATCTCTGCAAATGAACAATAATTATTGTCCTAAAAATAATTTTAAAATGTTTATGTAAAACAGAATTTAATTTTTGCAATCCACCACAAGAGAAGTCTTCAAATTTTTTAAGATAATTTATAAATCCAAATGAGGATTATTACTAAAGTACAGTAAATTCTCAGCTTTAAGCGTCAAGGGAAAGGTATACTTTTTATCTGAATATTATGACTACAAGTATATTTCCACCTACATACATAAATATATTATCAGTTTGTTTGGATTAGACTGTCTTAATAGAGTACTTAGCATTAAAAATAAACATTTTAAAAGAATTTCGAAAGTTCTTCACAAACAATACAAGTTAAGTATCAGTCCTCTGTAGCTGTCTCCACAAATATTTTTAAGTCACCACTCTGTGTACTTGTGCTATTTACTATTTACTAAGATTTTGGAGGCTGCTATGTAAGTCAGGTTTTAAACTTATATACACTACTCAAAAAATATTTTAAAGTGATGTTTAAGATGACATACAAATTCTGAATATTTTTGGAAGTCTGCTGTTCTCGGGTATAGAGCACAGCCTAGTGCTTTTCCTTGCTTTTATAAGTTATAGAGCTCAGTGGATTACATTAGGATGAAGTTCATTTTCAAAATCACATTTTGAAATTTAAAACTTTAAGTGGTACAACCACATACTTTTATTGCTATTATTTTCAACTTACTATACTGATGTAATTTAATGTTAAAAATTTAAAAATAATGAGATAGATGAATCAAAGACCTTTACCTTGGGATATGGGTAGTTGATGGAGAAATGGAGACCTTTTTAAAAAGTGGGGAATTAATACTTTGTCACACTGAAAATGTGCCTTTCAAACAGCAATTATTAAATAAAAATTATTAGATAAAAATCCAACCATGAGTTATGGCTACTGGTTCTACACAATGCCAAAGATTTGGTTATTTGGATAAATCTCGAGTTTCACTGAATTTTCTATTATGCATGCTGGTGACTGGGGTAACTTACATATATTTTATACAAATTCAGAAGAGAAACTCAAGTAACTTCTAGAGTTACTTAGAGTGGATCCATGTGCACAATGGGTAAGAATCATAAAAGCAGATAATCCCTGAACTTGAAGAACAAGAGACATAATGTCACCCCAAGTGTGAGATGATTATCTTAACTTTTACAAAATATTTAAAAGGAAGTTCAAAACAAAAATGCAACTGCCAATTGTGCTTTCCCTAAGAATCATGTAAAAAAATTAAAATTATGAACTTAATATTCTGATTCCTTAAAAGACATCTTGGCTGCTTTCTCCCGTTCCTGACTCTTCTCCTATACCCATTCCTGACATATTCCTGGGCTAATTCTAAAATAGGGAGACTGATATTAATGTGTGGTTGCTGGCAGCAGCCTCCTGGTTATATAACCACACCTGGTCTAAGTAGCTTGCCAGACCAAGCTAAATTACAAGCCCCTGGAGGGAAGTGAATGTGATTTCGTATGCGATGTTTCATAAATATTATATGATGGTGATGGTGATGTTGACAAACAGAGGCCAAATGCCAACCTCTCCCAGTTTTCACTGGGGATTTCTAACAGGAAGTTAGGGACTCTTAACAGGTCAATTATATCATTGCCATAGTGACAACTTTCTCTGAGAGAGTCAAAAGAAAAAGGAATTTATCTTTGCGCTCAAGAAGACCCTTCAGAGTAGCCTGGCACAGAGGGAATGAATTAAAAGAGCACCAGAAGGGGTGGAAAGCAGCTAAACAGGAGGCACATGAACTGAGCACTTGCAAACGCAGCCTCTCTTGCTAAGTCTACTTGCATGAAGATCCTGGATTCACTTGCTCCCCTAAATAGCCTGTATAAAAATTATAAAATCAAACTAAGGGCTAGACATGAGATGGACAAGACTAGTCCATCTGGGAGGGGCGGTTTCTCAGTATGCCCTGCCTTCTCCTTGACAATGGCAACACTGTCTTACTTGGCCTCAGTTTTAGCTGAGCACATATGAAAAACACTGGGAGACAGCCACCTTTAAAATAGTTAAGGCTGTCAACTTTAGATGCTCATTAGACTCTTGAGAGAAACTTTAAGAATATTCATCTATGGGCCTCACCTTTACAAAAATGTGTTTAACTTATTTGGGGTGGGACTCAGGTATCAGTCTTCCAAAAGTATTTTCCCAATGATCCTAAATTGCAGCCAGAGCAAGAAGTCACTGCAGTAAGAGTCACTAATATTTGTTCTGTATATTGCTTTATATCCCACTGAGCTGATTACCATTTGTGTTTGTTTGTTTTTCTGATTGCAATTTTCAAGAGTAAACCAAAGAATTTTCCTTGCTCTCAGGTAGGGCAAGACACGACAAGACTTGGCTGTCTAACAAGTGTTGAGCATGTCTCATTCTGTATGAAACATCTGTACGAGTGATCATTTTGATTCACTAAGGCAGCCAAAGACATTTTTGACATATGTGTATACCCTTTTATTTCTCAATACCTTTCTCTCTATAAATATATCAAAACAAAACTAGCACAGGTCTATTTTAATAGAAAACAGAACCAAGAACTATAGAATTTTAGATAGTTGCTCCAACATTAAAAAAAAGTTACACTTATGTAAAGTTGCTTAACTTCACATTTCTGAACCGGTTTCTATAGAAACAAGGTTTCCTAGAAAGCACTTTTCATTTCTTTACAGAATAGAAAGACCAGATGTGAAATTATGATTTTGAACTTTTCTCCACACTTTGTAAAGGGAAACAATATATCTCCTCAGAGTTTTCTTGATTTATTCCAGGATTCCTTAAAATTTTAATTACTAATAACAGCTACAATGATGATAAATTTCTAACTCTTTGGAATTCATTCACTAAGTAAGTAACAACCTTTTAAAATCTACCCCATTACTCTACACACACACAAACACACACACACACACACACACAATCTTAAACAGTTGATTCATAAATCACTCAGAACAGTTTTCATTAATAACGTTTTAATTAAGCTGTAAAAGGAAACCAACGATCAGCAATGAGTAAGGTTATGAAAGCTAAGCTGCTGGAAGGGTATCAGCAGCGGTAGGGTAGGCAGAGTGGGAAGGTTTTCGCCAGTCCTGTACCGCAGGGAGGCCTCGGTTCTCTGCTCACTTCAGGAATACATGGTCAGCTGTAGCCACTCTCTGATCGACACTTGAATCAGGCCATCTGCATCTCTATCCAGAGCCTTGAAGGAACGAAACATGGCATCCAGACGGACCAGGCAGCTGATGAAATTGTTAAAATCCATACCTTCATCATCCTCAGCATACCGTCGAACGATCATTTGGTAAAGCTGTTCATTCAGCTGGAAGCCAGCTGCCTGCAGAGCTTCGCGCAGCTGAGAGTTATTCAGAAACCCCGAGTGGTCTCTATCACATTGCTTAAAGACACACTGCCACTTCTTGATGTTGTTCCACAGATACTTAAACTCTTCAAAGCCCAGCTTCCCAGTGGTGTCATTGTCCATGACAGACACAATACTCCGGCAGGTGTCGAGAGTAAAGCCATCAGTCTTCAGTTCCTTGTGCTTAGAAAGCACTTTGTTGAGGATATTCATCAAGTCGGTGGCACCCACCTCCATGTCCGGTCCAGCCAGCTGTGTGAACTGTTGCCGAAACCGTCTAACTTCCTCACTTTCAGAAGCCTCCACATTGGTGAAATGCTGAGGGGTGGGAGGTGGCTCTGGAGTGTACTGAGCTGCAGCAGCCTCGCTGATGAAATTCACAATTCCTCCTACTATCCCTCCAAGACTTCCTCCTCCTCTTCTCTGACCACCTCCTCCTAGAAGGCCTCCCAGAGCTTCTCCAAGACCCCGATCCGCCCCTTCCAAAAAAGCCTTTGCTAGAAACATGCTTTCAGTTTAGCAAGCAAGGATAAAGGCTGCGTTAATCTTGGAGACAGTGTGAAAAGAGCTGAAAAGGAGTCTCAATGGTTTATATGTGGAAGAACTGGCTTTTCTGTACCTGCTAGGTCAGGTACCACGCCTCATGCTGATGTTTCATCTGCTAATGAGGCTGCCAGATGCCAGATTCCACTAGGTCCTAGAACCTGCCATAATTTAGAGGCATAAATTATGGCATAAATTTGTTTTCCATAAAATTGTTTTCCACTCTTAAAAGTAAATATTCCTAGGTTATAGCACAATACATTAGAATATTTCCAATACAAGATAATAAAACTATACATTTTATATGCCATTGCTTCCTTAGCACCTAAAAGAGGGCATGTGTTCGCCTAACAAAAAGTAAAGTGATTTAATTAAAACACCAGTTTCTTTCAAAGGAATATCTGTTTTAAGGGTAGAACTGAAGAATTCTTGGGCATTGGAAGGGTATGCATAATCCCCTTCTTTTAGCAAAGATTCTCAAAGTCAAATGTTCCTAAGAAAAAGTTGCAAAAGGAATTAAAATAAAAAGGTATGGTCCACAAGTAACACTACCACAAATTCTGATTCGGGGCATCTCCTGTGGGATTCCATGATTAACGTTTTCAGGATCCTTTTGACATAGAAGAGTTATATAGAAAAATATGCAAATTAAAAATGTGCAGGTCAAAGACTTTCATAAACTGTCCACATTCATGTCACAGGACCCACAGCACCTGGTCCTGAGAGGCCTCTCCACACATCTTCCGGTTACTCTCCTCTCCCAAGGTAATGGGTATCCTCATGTGTAAACACAGACTTTGTATCTTAAGTAAATGAAATCATGCAGTACATATATTCTTGTGGCTTTTGATTTTAAATTTAAACTACATTCAAATTGTGATGAAAATACACAATTTACCAGCTTGGTCATTTTAAAGTATGAAGTTCAGTGGCATTAAACAGATGGCACTCTTTTGCAACCATCACCACCTTTCCTCTTCAGAACTTTTCCCTCCTCTCCACCTGAAACTGTATCCACTAAATAGTAAGTGCTATTTTCTTTTCTTATTATCCCTCTTAACACCACTTTTACCATTCTAGGTACCTTATACAATTAGAATCATATAATATTTCTCCTTTCATGCCTAGTTTATTTCACTTAACATTTTTAAGGTTCACCTACATTGTAGCAGGTGTTATAGTTTTCTTTCCTCAATACAGATAAATACTCCTATAATGCATAATATAGCACATGCTGTTTTTCCATTCATCCATTGGTGGCCACTTGGATTATTGCCCTCTTTGGGCTATTGTGGACAGTGCTACTACGAACATCAGTATATGCACACTTGTTTGATCCCCTGATTTCAATTCTTTTGGTTATGTACCTAGATGTGGAATAACTGGATCATATGATAATTTTACTTTTACAATTCTGAGGAACTGCCATACTGTTTCCCACAATGACTGCACCAATTTACAATCCCACAAGGGAATGCAATTAATTATTCCATATCCTTTCCAACACCTGTTATTTTTCTCTTTTGGTTCTTGTTTTGGTAAAAAAAAAAAAAAAAAAAAAAAAAAAACCATTCTACTGTTGAAGAGTGTTATCTAATTATGGTTTTTTGTTTTTTCTTAATGATTAGTGATGTGGAACATAATTTCATATCTCTATTGGCAATTTGAATACCTTTTTTGGAAAAATAGCTATTCAAATCTTTTAACTACTTTAAAATCAGGTTATTTCTTTTTTTACTGTTGAGCTGTAGTTCTTTAAGCCTTCAGTATTAATTTCTCATCAGATAACGTGTATTATTTTCAAATATTTTCTTTTATGAGTCACCTTTAAACTATGCTATTACTATTCTCTGACACAGAAAAGTTTTAAATTTTGATGTGGTCCAATTTATTTTCTGTTATCTGTGCTTTTAATATCACATCCAAAGAATTATTGAGAACTCATGTCATAAAGCTTTTCTCCTAAGAAACTTTATAGTGTCAGCTCTTATGTTTAGTTCTTTGATTTATTTGAGTTTATCCTTGTATGTAAGGAATTTTTTAACACACATATATCTAATTTTTCTAGCACTATTTGGTGAGAAGGCTATTCTTTTTTCCATTGAATAGTCTTCATATTCTTATAGAAAATTATTTGATCACATACAGGCTTACATGTCTGTTTTTATGCCAGTATCTTACTGGTTTGATTAACTGTAGATTTGTAGCAAGTTTTGATCAGGAAATGTGAGACTTCCAGATTTTTTCTGTATTTTCCATATTGTTTTGGTTTATTTAGGGCTTCTTGGGATTCTACATAAATTTTAGAATTGAATTTTCTATTTTTATAAAAGGTAACATGGGATTTTGATAAGGATTGCACTGAATTTGTATATCATTTTGACTTGCATTGACGTTTTAAGCCTTGTAATCCATGAATAGGGAGCATCTTTTCATTTATTTGTGTTTTAAACTTATCAATGCTTTGAAGTTTTCACTAAACATACTTTTAGTCTTCATTATTAAGTTTTTTCCTTGGTAGTTTATTCTATTTGATGCATTTTGATAGAATTATGTTCTTAATTTCTCAAACAGTTCATTATTAGCGTATAGAAATGCAGTCTTGACTTTATATCCTGCAACTTCGTGAAATTCACTGATTAGTTCTAACATGGCTTTGTCTGTTTGGTGGAACATGTAGGGTTTTTATTTATTTTTGTTGGCTAATTGCTCTGGCTAGGACTTCTAGCACTATGTTGAGCAGAAGTGAAAGCAGATATCTTGGAAAAGTATTCAATTTTTCACTATTAAATACGACATTAGTTGTGGGCTTTTCATGTGTGTTTATTATGTTGAGGCACGTTTTTTCTTTTTCTAGCTTGAATATTTTTATGCTGAAAGAATACGAATTTTTTCAAAGTCCTTTATCAATTGAGACAATGTGGTTTTTCTGCTTCCTTGTGGTAATATATGTAGTATATTAGAGTGGATTTTCATAAATTAAATACTTGCATTCTAAGAATAAATCCTACTTGATAATGGTGTATTCTGCTTTAAGTAGGAGGGTGGTTTCCGTTTGGTGATATTTTGTTAAAGGATTTTTATATCAATATTCATATGACATTTTGCTCTGTAGTTTTCTTGTAATGTTATTATCTGATTACATTTTCTGGAAAATACTGGCCTCATACAAATCATAAGGAGCTCCCTAATTTTTTGGTTTTAATTTGACACAGACTAGTGTTAATTCTTCTTTCAATAGTTGTTGAAGAAAACTACAGATTTTCTACTTCATGTTTCAATTTGGGGAGGTTGTGTACTTCCACAGATTTGACAACTTCATCAAGATTACCCAGTTTGGTAGCATGCAGTTACTCAAAGTACTCATTTATAATCCTCATCTCAATTAGTCGTATATTCTAATCTGTTTTTTTTTCTTTGTAATCATTGTTCTTTGGAAGACCTATCAGTGAACTCCGGGAAAGGTAGCTAGCACTTAATGTCCAAAATATTGTGTCTCTTAGCCTTTGGGGGGGTCACAATTTCAAATCTGTAAAATGATGAAAATACTATCTCCCTTGACTACCTCAAAACAACTCAGTCTGATATGTTACATATCAGGACTCAGACTCAGTGCTCAGGAGAAGACAGTGAATACAACAGGACTGTTGTACTCAAGGGCCAAGGAGATCCACAAAGACTGGTTTTAACTATAAGCTAACATTTATGTTTACATTTCTATTATTAATATTAATCCTTTACTTTTGTATCTAATACACTTTAGTATTCAGATTTTATAAAATTTCTCTGAAAGATGCGAAAGTATTAGAGATAAGGAAATAACACTGAGAAAAATTTAGATACTTATTCAAGATCATGCTGCTACTACACTGTATTACATTATCAAACTGATCTGGCTATCAAAAGGGGAGCAACAAATTCTGCTGAGGAAAAAGAAAGGCTTGAATGCAAGCTAAATCAGGGTTCTCTAAATAGAAAAGGGATATAAAAGAACAGTATAGTAAAAACACAGAGAAGCTAAGGGGTATTTGGTATTCAAGAGATGGTCAAGGGATATGACGCGATGACAGTCTATTTTTGGGAATAACAGGAAACAAAGAGATATCAACAAAATGAAATCAGATTGGAAAAAGCTTCAAATTGCTGTGCAACACAGTCTATCAAACACATTACTGCAAAACTACTGACAGCTCAAATGTAAGTCTAAAGGAAATCAGATGTGAAAGTATTTTGGAACCTACACAATGTTAGAACTGAATAACTATTCTAGTTATTATTCTGGGAAAGAATAGCATTAGAGGACATTGTTTTCCTTAGCACATGGACACTCGACTTATCTCCTTCTATTACAACCAATGGCTTGTACAAAACTCTATGGTGCTTGGCTTTATTTCTCATGGGCATAATGAAAGGGTCTCTGAAGACCAAGGATGTTAAGAAAAAGTCCCACCAAAGGACTACTTTGCTTTTAAGGGATCACAAAAGCCATCTGGCTTTAGACAGATTCAAACCCATTCATATACACTTCTCTCAGAGGAAATTATATGGGTTTTGTTTTTGTAATACTGCAAATTAGCTTGATAACATCCACTGTCATATACAATGTGCTTCCTTATGCCTATCTGAAGTGGTTATGCACTGCAGCTTAAATCCAATTGTTCTTATTTATTTTCTGTGAAGGAGGAGGGCATTTGACTAATAGTTTCCCATAAGCCATCACAGGATAAAAAGCTGTTATTAGATTAGAAACCCTTTTCTTCTCTGGGCTATTTAACCCCCTGTGGCTACTTATTAGAACATTAATAACAACTTTAGTTGCTACCTGGAAGTGACTCTACTATCCAGATTTGGAGAACAGGAGTAGAAGAAAAGTCTCCAATTTAACCCCAGTTTAGGGAACAAAATTATTAGGCTTAAAATGTAAACAATGCATGAATGTTATTAGCAACATTACTCATAAAGCCTGAAGCACAAACAACCTAAATGTCCACCAATTAATAGATAAACAAAATGTGATATGTACACATAAAGAAGTACTACTCAGCAATAAAATGGGATGAAATTACCAATCCATGCTACATAGATAAACCTAAAAGCCTATGCTAGGTGAAAGAAGCCAACGTAAGAAGCCATGTTGGACAATTTCATGTACGTAAAATGTCCAGAAAAGACAAATCTATAGAATCAGAAAGTAGAATGGTGGCTGCCTAGGACTCAGAGATACTTAGGAAACCAGAATTCATAGTTAATGAAATAAAGATTGATGACACATATAGGGTTGATGAAAATGTTCTAAAATTGAGTGAAAATGATAGTTGAACAACTTGATAAATTTATTTAAAAATCACTGAACTGTGTGCATAA